ACAGATGCTTTGCATCTGCTTCTTATAGCTCCTTGAGGTTAGTATCAAGCAAGGATAACTATGTTTTCAAGTTAGATCTCCTGAAACCCCCCAGTCCACTCACAGAATTTATGTGAATTTAGGCTTCAAACTTGTACAAGAATGAGCTTGTTTTGCATTCCCAGGGAAGACTTTTATTTCCCAATGTGTACCCCCTATCTAGCTCTGAGGACCTGCTTATTTTCCTAGTTGATCCACTGAAGATGTACACTTAAAGGATTGTGGCATTATGCTGGAGGGGATGAAGTCTTTAATAAGAGTTCATTGCAAGGCACAGCCTGCAATGATACCTCCCTACACCCTCAACGCACAAAATTAAAATCTGGGCAGTAGCATAACAGGAGGCAGCTGAAAACCACTCCTGCCCTACTCCCAAGACACACATTCGTGTGATATTTTATCATTCTGCATTTGCTGTTTTTTGGTTTTTTTTTTTTTTTGGTAGTTTCTGGCCTTTTCTTGCCAGCCCAATCATGCATTGAAAAAGACTGACTACTCTCTGCAGCACTGTTAGGCATTTTTCTGAATCTATGGTCAGCCAGATGACCCTGGCTTCTACTTCTTTAAACCAGGAGTCATATGCAGTGGATGAAAGGGGAAGAAGGACTTTGCTAGACAGTGGAAAAAGTTTCAAACAGTGTGAAAATGGGAAAGCAAGTTAGAGAAGCACCAAGTAATAAAGCAATGATACATCCAGGAAAGTTCATGGTATAGGAAGAAATTACTTGGTAAGACTTCATAGCACCTGAGCTATATAATAGTCTCACATCTGATACATATTAGCCATGTAATTTTGGACAAATCACATCCATGTCTACCTATTTCATGGGGGTTGTGAAAATAAATGTTACAAAGTGCTCTGAAAATACCAATTGCATAACATATAAGGCATTATAATCATGTCTTCTGTTACAGGTATGTATCTGAAACTTCAGCTTCACAGATGATTTCAGGAGAAATAAGATCAAGATAGGGAAAAAATTTAGTAGATTCAGACAAAAACAGTTTATAGTCAGTTATGGATAAAAGTCAAACATTGAGCTAAACCACTATTTCTGGTAAACAGTAACTGACTCAGGATATGAGACTTGTCTTACAGACTTTTCTATTTTGTAGAATTTGTTGAAACTAAATTAGCAAAGCCCTAATTAGTATGGGCCATTTGCCAGGAGATAAAAATAGTTTCATTAAACAAAACTCTATATTGTATGAAATCTTTTAGGCAGAAAATAGATTCCAGACAGTATATAATTTACCTCAAATGTTCATCAAAATAAAGTTAACCCCTACATTTTAGATGACTAAATATTTTCTAAATTTTGACCTTTTTATAAAGTGTCATTCAATAATATAATCACCATTGTTCTAGTTGCTAGAGATAAAAATATGTAAAATATTCCTTCTTATCCTCAAGGAATTTCTATTTTAGGTGGTAGAAGTATGATTTCCACTTCTGTGGGAAATCAAAGAACAGAACAAAATCAATGAATCTGCAAGTTGACTTGCAAGTTATTTGAAGTATACCAAGATAAGAATACATCTACTGGTAGGAACAATAACAGCATCCATAAATGTAAGAGTTAACATTTTGAATTTAATTTTCCTAGCTGTTTTGGCATTGTGATTAAGTCACTGCACTTTATCCTGATTAAGCAACTGGCACTCCTAAGATCAAATTGGAAGTAAGAACTTTAATATGTTGAAGATGAACTCATTGATTTTGGCATGCATCACAACACTTCAAGATGGTGTACCATCAACTCTCATTAAAAAAAAAATTTAGATTCAGGAGGTTCACATGCAGGTTTCTTACATGGATATACTGTGTGATGTTGTCAATTCTCCTTTTAAGTCGTTCAACATGTTCTAATGGTAGACAGAATCAATTTTATCAGATAGTCTGTTTTAAATATTGAAGTCTTCTCCGGTAAAAGTCCAGGAGTGTGAACTTTTCTCTGGTAAAGCTCATGTCCTACCTATCCTGCCAGAAGTTCAATATGTGTTTTTAGATTAGTGTACAAGGTGGTTTTTTCCCCCCTCTCTCTCAACTATCGGTTTCCAGGAGGTTAAGTACGAAATACTGAGAAGCTCAACTGTTTAAGAAAGGGCTACTTTCCTTCATCTTATTTCAAGTATAGACACACACACACACACACACACACACACACACACACACACAAAGTCCTTCTTTTCAAAAACATGAGTTTTAGAATATCTGCCAAAATGTATTCAAAGTAGTAGGGTTTGTTTTACTTTTTATACTGATCCACGGTTCTTTATAACTAAGTCCTGAAAGCTACTCTTAGTGAGAATCAGAAAAAACAAATGCTTTAAATAAGTGAAAAGTAATATGGAATTGGTATTTAATACGGCATACAGTAAAGACAGAGTGAGTTGGTTATCAAGACACACACAACTATTCATAAAAGATACAGGGGCCTTTGGTTAAAAAAAATTAAACATCAGTTAAGTCTTATATTTATTACCACATAGGCTTTCCCTTCCACTTTGCTATAATATGAAGAACTCACTAGGAAAAACTTCATTAATTCAGAATGATCAATGGGAAGTATACTTCCAGTTATCTGGAATTGATATAAAAATTTGAACTCAAATACTCTCTTAAATACAGGTTCCTGGCGATTTTCTGTAATGAAAAGAGAAATGATTTCTGGTTGAGATATCTCCTTTCAAATAGGCTTTCAAAAAAACTGACAATTTGTTCTCTTAAGTACAATTGTGTCCTGAAATCGCTAATTTGATTATAAAAAGAAAGGAAAAACAACTCACACCCTTTTTAGCAGGCATTACAAAGGAAAAAAGCTTTATCCCAGCTTCTTTCCAAATTATGTTTTTCAGGTTAATAGAGTTTCATCGTTTTAAAAAAAGTACATCACACAAACATTTAACAGGAAGACTTTTAGACTTTAAATTCTTCCTCACTAGCTTGAGTATTAGCTCAAAGTCTGAAGACCCAATCTAGATACTCTGTGGATTCTATGCTATATAAGCTTACCTTCAGGATTTTGAGCTTAAATATATATCCTTTTTTGTGATGGTGTTTACCCACTTTGTGCTTATCTGAGCGAGCTACTGACTGGGAGATGGTAAAAAGGGAACCTTCTGGGACACGGAAAATGCTTTATATCTTAATCTGGGTGGTGGTAACATGGGTGTATACAGATGTAAAATTTCATCTAGGTGTGCATTTAAGATTGTGGACTTTATGGTATATGTTATACCTCAAGAAGTAAAAAAGAGTGTTTAATCCACTTTATGAAATGCCTACCAACTATTTTACAGTGAATCATTCATACGATTTTGTAAATCAAAATGTATAGGGAAAAAACAAGTCATCTGATGCTCCTGGCATAAAAATCGCTAGTCACTTTCAGGTAAACATCTCAAGCTGGAGTAAAAGCTTCAGTGTTGAGAAGTCACTAACACACTATCTGAAATGGTGGCAGGAAGATTACAATGTATCAGTTTAAGTATAAAGGGTAGAAGTGTTACAACAGCTTAAACGACAACTAGATTAGAACATCCTCAAGTAAGTGACACGACTATGGCATCATTATCTCATTTGTGATGACTTACGCTGCTTATTTCCGCTTACTGCTTTGGGGTTTTGTCATTGTATGGACTTTTAAAGGATGGAGAAGGAAAATAATAAAAGTTAAATTAGTTTTGTTGTTTTCAACTATTGTTTTTAGTGTGCTAAATAGTTGACGTTATGACTGACTTTAAAATTATGCATTCTACTTCCTATTTATTAAACGAGAAAAGAGTTGGTTTATGTAGGAAATATAAACACTTAATCTACGTCATTTAAAAAAAAATTTTTGCTTGGAACTATATTAATTCCATTACCTCGAAAAAAGCCTTTGAGAGGATTAGCTGCATAGGCCAATATTATTCTATATTAGTCTGTATTAAGCATATGATGTCACCTTGCTTCCTCCCCTCCTCAAGCTTTTCTTTTGGTGGGAAGGAGGACTTTCATGGGGGAAATTCTCAAAATATTATGGCTTAAATACCACAAGCTGACACACATGATTGACAATCTTACACTCCCAAACCTGTTTGAAATGGGTCAAATACCTAAGCGCTGCAGAACAATGCAATCCAACCAGCAATTCCCCATAAAAGAGAAAGGGGGTGTGATTAGGTTCCAGATATTAAGCAAGTTATTGCAAAAACAGTTTGGTGATTTTGTTTCTGCAATAGGCACAGGTTGAGCTAGTATTTTTTTCTCTTAATAAGGTCCAAAAAAGACTATGCTATAGGAGGTAGGATAAACCACTAAAGCGTGAAGCAACTGGGACAAACATTAAGGGCTTTATGGAGGTCCTTATCCTGATCCTCAGCATTGGTTATTGATCATCAACCCTGCTGGGGAACTATCGAACGAAATTTGCGTGAGGCTTATCGAGCCACAGGAAAGGAGATGCAGGAGGGAATATAAGCTTCTAATAAAAGAAACGCAGCAACAATAGCAGAGGAACAGCTCTGCCTGGTGACGTAATGGCTGGCAGCAGTCCAGCTTCAGCAGAGCTGCTGCTACCTCAGCATCCAACCTCCCTCAACACAGTCCGGCTTCGGCAGAGCCACCGGGGCTGCTACTTCTTGAGATGCCACTTTGTTGGTGCCACCAACGCCTTACCTCAGAGGGCCAGAACACCAAACAAAGGGTTCGTTCCGTTGCTGTTTTAAGTTGTCACACACACACTCTCACTCACTCACTCCCTAGCCCCGGACCCCTCAGTAATCGAGCCAATCAGCCACTTAAGTTTAGGACGAAAACACTGGCTCACACTCCAGGTGTGCCTCAGTTTCCCCAGGCTGGTTTCCAGTCCGCCTCTAGCTGCCCACCCCCCCGCCCCCGCTGGTCCTCAGCGGGAGCTGATCCCGGCGGCCCCGCGTACCCGCCCGGGCCCCGCATGCCGGCCCTCCTGCCTTACCTCCGCCAGGTAGAGGTTGAGGAGACAGAGCGTGGAGAACTGGAGACAGGAGGGGAAGCAGTAGAGCAGCCAGTGGGGGAAGAAGTGCAGGTGAGCGGGCGGCCGGAGCAAGGGCAGGGAGCCGCTGAGCGAGAAGGCGGCGGAGAAGAGGGTGGTCCTGAGCGCTGCCCACAGGAGACAGAGGAAGAGGCAGAGGCTCTGGTAACTCAGCCGCCGCTCGCGGTACAGGAGCAGCCGCCACAGCTGCAGGTAGGCAAAGGCGAACAGCGCGGCGTAGAGCAGGGCGTGCAGGACGCTCAGCGCCAATTGCGAGATGTGTAAATTTGAACT